GCTCCTGGGAGTGCTGCCCTGCTCTGCCCGGGTTCACATGGCCACGCTGGGCCGCAGGGCGCGATGCCCGCAGGACCTTGCGCTGAGCCTTTCCAGCGTGCCAGCTGTGGCTTCTGTTCAAAGCACACAGCTGCATGCCTGTATTTAAAGGCCAGACATTTTAATATTGCCTTTCCTGTTATCTTCTGACTAGACAAGCTTCTAAAAGGAAATGGCCGTACAGACAGCTTTTTTTTTTTCCCAGCTCGATTGTTCTGATTTCTGGGTGGGTGTGCTTTACAACCCAAAGTTATAGGTACTTTATCGCAAACAAGAGGGAAAAGTTATTGGGGGGGATGGGGTTTGCTGTGGTTTTTGAGAAAGATGGAGGTTTGGTTTAATACAAAAAAAATCCAACTTTTTAAGCCATTTTCGCTGCTTCAGTGTAACAGGGAGGAAAAGAAAGTGCTGTGAGGACTGCATTATTGCTACTTGTTCATCACATGTTTTTCACTTGTTCTGAGTTTTTTAGATGGGCGAGGAAGCAGCTGAATTACATAATGTCCTCAGCTTGCAGAAGTTGTTGGAAATGTACTTCAGTTTTCACTGAGCGCAGAAAAGGTCCTTGTCTCCTGTCTAGGCTTGAAAGCCACCGAGTTAGATGGTGACATGATTTTGGAGGTGGTAACTTTTTGTGGGGCACTAGAGCCATCGACCTGCTTGTGGTTAGCAGCTCTGGGTTCAGTTCCTGGGCTGTTACCTGTGTGGAGTTTGTATGCCCTCCCTGTTTTTGTGTGAGTTTCCTCAGGGTGCTCCAGTTTTCCTTCACCAGTCCACAGACGTTCTCTTAATGGGCTTTGGGGAAATCTGGCCCTGGTATGAGTGTGCACGTGTCTCTGCATGTGCCCTACAGTGCACTGGCTTCCTGTCCAAGGTGTATCCCACTCTGCACCTGTCAATAGCTGGGATAGGCTCCGGCTCGCCCACCCCTTGGCATGAATTTTATTGCGGTGTTGTGAAACTTTCTGTCCATGCCCTTGAATGACCCCAGCTGTTTACCACTCTAATGAATGATGTATTGACTGCGTTAGGTAATGTTCACTACAGGTTACTGCAGAGGTAACATTGTTTCCTGAAGCCTGGCTGAGATCATGTGCAGCAGGTGTGTCTATCCATTGGGAGGTCTGCAACTTTGTGCAAATCCTCTTTGGTTTGTCTCCGTCTCTGTCCCTTTAACTCCTGCTTGGAAAGCGCGGGGGGTGGGGGGTGAGGTTGGCAGGGCTTGTGAATGATTGATTAACCCGGGTGTCTCCTCTCTGTCCTCTCCAATCTCTGCAGGCTTGATCGGCGCCAGCCCTGACCCGGTCTCCTAGCAAGAGGCGTCTCCTTCCCGGGCGCAGGCCTGCTGATTGGCGGAGGAGGAGGGGGCACGTGCCGCGGACACCCCCTGCCCCCC